ACAAAAGCCAAAGTGTGGAAAAATGGCACTCTTGTGTCAGCCATTCTTCACTTCTTGGGTGGAAAAAAAAACCGTATTAAAGGAAACAGCCATTTAAACAGCTCTTTCTCACTCATCTCAGAACAAGTGTTGCCTGTTTTCTTACCACTTATGAGTCGTACAGTAATGCAGTACTACTGTTAATGTGAATTGATTCTGTACATTTTCCAAGAGTAGCCCATTGACACAACAAAATAGTTATTCTGTATGTTTTTCAAGAGTAGCCCATTGCCACAGCAACAAAATAGTTATTCTGTACTTAACTGGACAGCTTTGAGAGCCAACACAGGAAACTGACCTGGCTAGATTTTTTTCCCCAATATTAAAGTCAGTCTTACCTGCTTTATTCTCTAGGATCACAAAAAACTGAGACTGCACAAATATTATGTTTATGCTGCAGTTAATATAGGCATTGTACACATGATATATTTAAAGCACACCCACACACCAGGAATTCTGGTGGTGGAAATGATAGCTCTAGGAGGGGTTAACAGCTACAACAAACTGAACAGTTGCTACATTTAGTTAATAAATAGATCCAGCATTTGTTAGCAAACCAACATGCATGATAAACTGGATTTAAGCAAAGGCCTTGCTACCTCTTAGCGTGACTAAGACCATTTCAGAGTACAGTGGTACCCCGCAAGACGAATGCCTCGCAAGACGGAAAACCCGCAAGACGAAAGGGTTTTCTGTTTTGGAGGCTCTTCGCAAGACGAATTTCCCTATGGGCTTGCTTCGCAAGACGAAAGCCCATAGGGAAATCTCTGGGGACCTGTTTTAAATTGCTGGCGGTCGGGAGCAAAGACTTTCGCCCACAGCCGGCCTTCAGAAGAGGTCCTGGACCTCTTCTGAAGGCCGGCGGGGGGCAAAAGTCTTTGCTCCCTCCGCCTGCCTTCCCGGGACAGCGGAGACTTCTCCGCTGCCCCGGGCGATCTTAAAATGCTGGCGGGCGGGAGCGAACGCTTCGCTCCCGACCCCCAGCATTTTAAAATCTTTGGGCGAGTGTCTGCAAGCCTCGCGCGCCCGGCAGGAGGTCCCACCGGGTGCACGAGGCTTGGGGCGGCAGCCTGTCACCCGAAGCACGGGGAGCCCTTCGGAGAGCTCCCTTTGCTTTGGGCGAGTGTCTGCAAGCCTCGCGCGCCCGGCAGGAGGTCCCGCCGGGTGCGCGAGGCTTGGGGCGGCAGCCTGTCGCCCGAAGCACGGGGAGCCCTCCGGAGAGCTCCCCTTGCTTTTGGGCGAGTGTCTGCAAGCCTCGCGCGCCCGGCAGGAGGTCCCGCCGGGTGCGCGAGGCTTGGGGCGGCAGCCTGTCGCCCGAAGCACAGGGAGCCCTCCGGAGAGCTCCCCTTGCTTTTGGGCGAGTGTCTGCAAGCCTCGCGCGCCTGGCAGGAGGTCCCGCCGGGTGCGCGAGGCTTGGGGCGGCAGCCTGTCGCCCGAAGCACGGGGAGCCCTTCGGAGAGCTCCCTTTGCTTTGGGCGAGTGTCTGCAAGCCTCGCGCGCCCGGCAGGAGGTCCCGCCGGGTGCGCGAGGCTTGGGGCGGCAGCCTGTCACCCGAAGCACGGGGAGCCCTTCGGAGAGCTCCCCTTGCTTTGGGCGAGTGTCTGCAAGCCTCGCGCGCCCGGCAGGAGGTCCCGCCGGGTGCGCGAGGCTTGGGGCGGCAGCCTGTCGCCCGAAGCACGGGGAGCCCTCCGGAGGGCTTCCCCTGCTTCGGGCGAGTGTCAGCAAGCCTCGCGCGCCCGGCAGGAGGTCCCGCCGGGTGCGCGAGGCTTGGGGCGGCAGCCTGTCGCCCGAAGCACGGGGAGCCCTTCGGAGAGCTCCCCTTGCTTTGGGCGAGAAGTCTCTGCTGCCCCGGGCGATCTTAAAATGTTGGCGGGCGGGAGCGAAGCGTTCGCTCCCGCCCCCCAGCATTTTAAAATCTCCCCGGGACAGCAGAGACTTCGCTCCCGCCCGCCAGCATTTTAAAATCGCCCCGGGACAGCAGGGGCTTTTAAAATGCTGGCGGTCGGCAGCAAAGCCCTCCTGTCCCCAGAGCTTGCGGGGCGGGAGGTGGGAAGAAGGGCTTTTTTTCCCACCGCCAGCCTTCAGAACAGCCTTCTGAAGGCTGGCAGTGGGAAAAAAGCCCTTGTTCCCCCCACCCCCCAGCCTTCAGAAGAGGTCGGGGGACAGACTGTCCCCGGACCTGGTCTGAAGGTGGTTTCCCTAGGAACGCATTAATTGATTTTCAATGCATTCCTATGGGAAACCGTGCATCGCAAGACGAAAAACTCGCAAGAAGAAAAAACTTGCGGAACGAATTAATTTCGTCTTGCGAGGCACCACTGTAAGTGCCTTAAAACTTAGCCAAATATTACACCCAATTGGGCACAATATTTTCCAGCAGTTCTTAGCTAAAGCACGTTGAAGCAGTTGCTATTTGAACAGATCATCATATCTTAGTTCTGGCAATTAAGTCTGATCAAGATAAACAAATTGTAAGGAACTTGCTTGATATTATGGGTCCATCTAATAGATCTTCGTGAAAAAAAGATTATTAAATGGAGATTTCTGGGTTTTATCATGAAATAAGGCTATACAATGGGGCCACCAAAAATGAAGGCAAGGTGTACTAACTTCAACTGAGTTTATCCACCAACCAACGAACTAACATCCTCAAGCTAACAAATTATGAGGTCCAAACATATGACAATAAGAAATGGCTGCTTGCCACATTAATGCTGATGATGTAAGTCTAATATACAAGCAAGTGGACTGATCCAGGGATTTACAAGTGGGAACACATGCAACCCCATCATCTAATACTGAACTAAAGAAAAAGTAAAATTCACTTCCCCGCTGTTTAAAAATGAGTGCATCCTAGATATATTTTACCCCCCCAAAAAAATAAATAAATAAATAAATCTTAGAACAGTATATGAAAATCACTACACTCAAATATAAAAACAGATCCAGCCATGCAGGCAAGAAAAATGTGTTTTGAAGCACATGGAGGAATAAACAATATGGAATTCCTTCCAAACCTATTTAATTGTGCGATGTTTCTGTAGAAGCTAAAGTACAACAATCACTGTGAATGATGGCCTTAAAAAAAATCAGTCAAAATGCTAAAATAGACTAAGCTTCAAGTTGCCTAGCTACACAGGAAGCTTAGGACAAATTCTCTCAACCAACTTCCAGAGTAACCACACTAGACATAAAATAATAAATGGATAGGCATTATTATCTTGTTCTCAAAAAAATTTAAACAGCTGTGATTTAATTCCTCTTCTTGTAAAACCAGATTGCTAATCCCTATAGCGTTTTAAGAGGACTACTTCCTGGATACATTAGGGAAGTCTATAAATTTGAAAATTCTTATTAGGGGGATAACCCTATTTCCCCCCCTGATGTTAATATATCTACTTATATACAATTCTTAAAACTGGAAAGGCACTGAGAATGTTTCTACACTGTGTTCTTGTTAGCAGTATTATCATTAACAACAATCTTAAAATCACTGAGCTCCTAGGAAACACATGCAAGGCATTCCATGTATCTGGTGCACAAAGGGGATTTTTTTAAAAAAAAATATTGCTAAATACTTATAGATACATAACAATATTTTTGCTAGATGACTTACATATTTAAAGTTCATGAGCAACTGACATGTGCAAAGACTACAGTGGCCAATTGGGGAGAGCACTTCGCCAATGATGCACTGAAAGTTCTTCCATATTTCCAAGAGCCAATATCATACTAAGTGATTACTTTTAATAAATATGGATCCTGAGACATCTGAACACTTATTCTTTTTTTTTTTCTTTTTTGCTAGCATTAGGTGAGGTCCAGATGAAGTTAGTTGCACTTCATTCCCACTGAAATCAATGCGACCAGACTTAAACCACGACTCATTTTCTCCATTGATTTCAATGGGACCTTAGTGCAACTAACTTGCCATCTGCATTTAATCTACTGGTAGCAAAAAACCTACTATAAACCTTTGCTGCATTTCTTTTTAAAAAAAAATAGCTACACCTTTTCTCACACCTGAACACACACATATTCAATCAACAACATGCTAAACTTTCACCTTGGGCAGTGGCTTGTAAAGGATTCAATTAATTAAATCAACCTTCTCCAACGACTAACCCCTAATATTCTCAGTAAGGTGGCAAAAAAAACCCCCGAAAGGCTTAAGAAAAAATAATAAGAATAACAATCTTATGTTCAACTACGAAATGCATCAGATTCTTCTTCTTTTCCCCCCACTTGAAATTGAATCATTACATTTGCTTTGCTTTGGTTCTATGCTTATTTGTTTGCTTGTTCTGAGACAAAATTTATTTGAACACTTAATGAAAAAAACACCCTAAAAATCAGGCAGAAAGGCCTCTTCCACTCTTCGGAAAGGAGGATGGAGGAATGAGCCTACTGCCCAAGCTCTACTCTGCCTTGCCCTGATCATAGAACTTTAGTGCCATCTATTGAAAATGTATTGAATTTGCTTTTTTAAAAAAAGAAGAAAAAGAAGAGGATGACTGGTGAGTCTATATATATATATATATATATATATATATATGATACATATTTTTACTTATTGGGATTTATAGTGTATTAATACACTTACCAGTGGCTTAGTGTTATTTCAAGTTCTAAATAGCAGCAGAGCAGGTCATTCATCAAGAAGAAAACAACAGTTTTCAGCTTATAAATGTATGAACTAAGGCTAGAGATTTCAACACTGCCCAGATAGAATGCACTCAGCAGGAATATAAACCCTGTGTCTTCCTTGCATATAAAATAAAGTTAAAAAAAGAAAAGAAAAACCCCTGTATTGGTAATAACGCACCAATGTACTAGATAAGAGAGATCTGTGGAACTAGGACACACTGCAAATAAATGGAAAGAAATAAGGAATATCTCAGCATTCGGAAGCAGGAAGGGGGGGGGAACACCAGTGTATGCAGGCATGCAGATATAATTACCTTCTTTAAGGAACTGGGAGTGGATGACAAATATAAGAAAACAGCAGATAGCTGCTCCTGCTATTGCCCATAAAGCTTTCAAGAGCTGCATCTCGGGTTGGAACTCAGCAAATACCCAGAAAGTCACACAATGAATTTCCAGAGCGATGCATCAATGTTTCCCAGGTTTGAGCCAGCCAGTAACCACACTTCCAAAACAGAGAAAAGGCTAGAGATCGCAGGGAGCCTTTTCCCTCCCCCTCGCTCCCCTCGGCTTGGGGGAGGGGAGAGCAAGGGGGTTAACGCAAAGTCTCAAGCAGCAGGAGTAAGCATCCTGATCTTCAAAAGGAGAGCAGCACAGAGGAAGCTGGGTCTGGGCTCCATGAATCAGCTTTCTGTTTCCTCGGGAGTTGAGCAGCATTGGGGGTTGGGGTGGAGTGGGGGGGGGGGAGCTGAGAGGAAGGGGAGGGAAGACAATCTGGGCAGAATTGCGCAATCGCTCCCCCTGCTCTGATGAGCTTGTTTTTTCGCTGCTGCTGCTTCGGTTCAGCAGGGAGAGCAATGCGGGAGACAAGCCGGTCCTCTCAGCGCTGATGCTGCCCTGTGGGCACGAAGCTCCTGCAGATGCCGCTCGCTGGGTTCGCTTGGCACGACCCTGTAAAAAAAGAGGGGAAGGCTGGGGCTGCGAAGGAGGGAGGGTGCAAAGGAGGCTGCCTCGCTGTCCAACTTCCCTCCGACGGCTTCCCTTGCTCGGTCCCCAGAGCCGGCCGCTTCCCCTCCGCGGTTCAAAGCAACTCAATTAATCCTTTCAGCGCAGGTGCCAGCTGGCGGCGGCTGGGGCATCTCTTGCGCGCTTGCTGCTGCGCGAAGCCGGGAAGGGCGCGGGGACTTCCCGCCTCCCCTCTGCTCGCCGCCACCTTCCCGTCGCCTCCCAACCTGGCCGGGGAAAGGCTGGCTCGCTCTTCTTCCCTCGCGCGCCCCGTGCGCCTTCGCCTCGCCTTCTCCACCGCGCACACACGCGCGCACCCGAGCACCCCCCCCCGCCGCGGCACCCGCAGAGCGTCTTGGGGCAAACGGGCAAGCGTTTTAGGAGAGGGGTCGCAGCAGCAGCAGCAGCAGCCCACAGGTTGACACCTCCATCGCAGCGTTGCGCCCCCCCTCTCCACAGAAATCGGTGCCCAGGCTGCGACGCCGCCGCTGCTGCGGGAGGGATCGGGCGGAGAGACGCGGCTGCTCTTCGGTCCTGGTGGCGGGAGGAAGGTAGCTTCTGCAGGGAGCCCCAGCCCCGCTCGCGAAAGCTCGCTGGCTGCAGGCAGCGAGAGGGTTTTGGTGAGGCTTTGCTCGAGGTGCGCTGGCACAGGGCGGGGACGGCCGCCTCGGCTTCCCCCGGAGCTTTCCCCTTCTCTTCTTCTGGCGGGTGCTGGTGGGTGTCGCTGGGGCTGCAATCTTCCCTTCTCGGCTGCAGGCTGACGAAGGCAGCTCGGGCTCCGAAGTGCCTCCTCGTCTGCCAAGGCGGCGGAGCCAATTCTGCACGGACTCCAGGGACCCAGCCTCCCTCGGGGCTGCTGCTTCTCCCCCCCCCTCCCCACCGCCCCCCTTCGCAGCGCGGAGAGGCAGGAAGGCTGGCCGGCTGCGCGCGTTGGTTGGATGGCGGCGAAAGCAGCGCCTTGGGCGCGCTCTTCCCCAGCCGCGTCTTATTGCAAGACTCCTAGCGCCATGGAGCAACTTTCGCGGCGCCTCGGTCCCCAGCAGGCTGGGCTGGCTCGCTTGTTAAGGAGCATGCCCGAGAGGCGAGCGTGCGCGCTGGGCGCAAGCGAACCCCCTCCGGCAAGATGCTCGGGCTCCGACAGGCAGCTCCCTACGACAAACAAGCGGAGCGGGGAGGTAGGCAGTCTGGCAGCGCCGAGCTGGAACTGCGCCGCTGGAAGCTTGGCGGCAGGAAAGGGGTGGAGAGGGAGACACCAAAGCGCAAGGCAGGAGCAGAGGAGGAAAGGTGGCCAGAGCCGGGCAGCAGCCTCTCGGAACGCCAGAGCTACCTTTCCCACCCCGCCTCGAAATGCGGGCTTTGATGTGGGTGATATTTATTAAAATCAGAGTGACAGATTGGAGGCTTCTGCTCAGCCACCCAGCAGAATGCCAGCGGAGCCGCTTGAATGTCAGTTGGTTGTAGCGATTTACAGAAAGGCAAGTAAGCTGCAGGGGCGCACGGGCGTAGGGAGGAGGCGGCGGTGTGATTTACAGTACCAGAGGGACCGACGAGAGATCCCAGACAGTGCGCTTGCTGTGGGCTGAGAAGTGTGATGTAAGTGATGCCACGGGAAGGAGGACCATTTCGGAAGCAACATGGGCCACATGGAACGGTGCGGGAAATACAGAAGAGCAGCTACAGAGGCATGCGAGGCGCAGGCTGCTTTTTGCGATTTAGCACTCCCTTTCGTTTACTTCTCTGCAGATCACACTTCCATTACTTTTCTTTTCTGCCGATAATGTCACTGTGCCATCTGCAGCTTGCTGGTGGTTCCCCTCTCAAGGCATACCACCTGTTTCTGATAACTACCTATTGACATCCAGCGGCTCCCCGGGGGTGTTACTATTGGCATTGCATCTCCTTATCATAATTTCTTACACTGCAAGCTATCTACCTGGCAGCAAGTGTCACTAAAATCAATAGGGCTTACTTCATTGAAATTAATGGGACTTGCCTAACCATTTTCGTCAATTCCATTGCCTAAGCAAATATTGCGAAAAATCATTGTGTTCTCTTATTTTATATGCATACATGCACATTTTTTTAATGTACTCTTGACCCATCTTCCAAAATAGACTTAGTGCTTGTCCAGTACTAGTACCATCTCTACAACAAACAGTAAATGAAGGTTCAATGGTATCCACGCAGTCAGTATTCAGTCTGTTTAAATATAATTAAGATCTTATTTCAGTGGGTGCCGCTATGCACAGCAAGACTGCAGAGCAGTTCTGGTGCAGAAAGAGTCAGAAAATGTGAATTGCATTTCGAGGCTAGAAAAAGAGTATATAGTTTCTTCAGTGTTGCAAAAACATACAAAGAGCCCCACTACTGAACTTATGTAGGTATGCATAGTGCTGTAAGGCTGGAATCCTATACAACTTATTTGAAAGTCCATTTTTGCTTAACAGAATAGATTTCCTTCCGAATATGTAGGATCTGAGTGGAAGACTGGTTGCTTATGACAAATCTCAGGACAAATCTTCACCACCGATTTACTCTAGTTTTAAAGTTTATCGCTGTGATGCAATGAAAGAAGATTGGGATCACTAGCAGATTCAACAGGTGAACCATGCTCCCATAAAATCGATGTGCTTGTGGCGTAGACATGTAGCTGAAGTGTGAAGTTGATGCAGGGCACTCAAATAGTGTCTCAAGCAATCTCCACGTCTGTCTAATTTGTACAGGCCCTATAAATCAGAAGCTCTGGTGTTGATGGAACAGATTTCTAGTTGGCACAGAATTTTTCCTGGTCAGAATGGTTCAACTTTTGTTGTTGTTGTTTTTATCTAAGCAATTCCCCCAAAAACAAAACATAATAACTGCTCCAGTTTCCTCAAGGTTAGCCAAGAATAGAACTGTTACATCAAGCTCCTCTCATGGCCTTTGCTTCCACCCCCAAATTGTGAAGAAACACCCTAAGAATGTGTTAGCTGACCTAAGGAATAGGGTAGAATCCATAATTTTAAAAAGCAGGTGTTCTGTGAAGGGGGAAGAAGAGGACAGAGTAGACTGCAATATTTTTATTTAATTTTTGTAACTGCCCCACTGAAATGCATGAAGCACAAACCCCAGAAAACAGTGAAAAACGTGAATACTTTGAAACCTTGAAATCTGACAAAATCAAACAAAGAGTTAACTATTTATTCAAAGCCAATTTGAGGTATAGTATGAAAGGATGAAAAATCAACACAGTTCTTGTACAACTGAATAAGTTGGTACACACAGATTATCTCAGAGGTAAACTTAAGTCACATACTGTTTTTCTAGTTCCAACCTCAGTTGGGTGTTGGAGGAAACATGAGAACAATAGTAAGAAAAATCTGTAACGTGCAATATGAAAATAGTGTAGCAGAAACCTTCTTAGATGAAGGACAGGTATGAAGGAAAGGTGCAGTAGCAATTTTTAAGCATATGAAAGAAATGACCGTAACTTCCTCTTCTCTGTCCTGAGGAACACTGCCAAAGTTGAAAGAAACAGCCTTAGCCTGGCTATCAAATATTGCTTCTTAACTGAAAAACAGATTAAAAAAGAGAAAACTGAACTGAACTGGTTCAGTCTAGATAGAGGGACCTCTACTGGTACAGATGGGCTGTCCTAGATTGCTCATCAGATCTCTTCTAACATTACTGCATAAATGACATACAGTGGTACCTCGGTTTAAGAACAGCCCTGTTTACGAACGATTCGGTTTACGAACTCTGCAAAACCGGAAGTAGTGTCCTGGTTTGCGAACTTTACCTTGGTCTAAGAACGGAATCTGAATGGTGGAAGGGCACCTGGCAGCGGGAGGCGTCATTAGGGAAAGCATGCCTTGGTTTAAGAACGGTTTTGGTTTAAGAACAGACTACCGGAACGGATTAAGTTCGTAAACCGAGGTACTACTGTATTTAATATAGTCAAATAACTGTCAGATCTAGCCTATATCCTTCTTAATATTGTCACTGTACACAGTTTATTTATTTTTAAATAGGTAAAATTATTCAGAGATTTCTGTTATTCTTATTAGAAAAATCAATATGATCAATTGCAACCCCCCATTATGCAGTAATGGCCATGATGGTGTCAGGGCAAAATTTCCCCTGACCAGAGGAACCACACACAAAAGGAAATTAAGAACAGAATATTTTATTCTGCATGACTTTAATAGCACCAGAATTACATCAGTTGTAACAAATGAATCAGCTATCATGTGCAGGTGGGATATCCATTCCTATTATCAGAAACATAAGTCATCAGCAGGGAACTCAGGCTGCAATTCAAACCCTACTTAATCTGGGAGTTAGCCCCAGAGAGTTCAATAAAACTAACTTCTGAGCAGACATAGACAAACCCCCTTTGGGGGTTTGGTACTCTGTGCTCCATCTGGATTTTTGTATAGCTATAGATTGTTTTTACTTACATAGATTTGTAAAAGTAACAATAATGAAAAAAAATGGCTGTCTACCATTTTAGTAGGATGATTCTCTGTCACATACGAAATTAAGAACATGCATTTCTGCCCAGTTTTGGTCGTGTGATTTAAGTTTCATTATTTTGTGAGCAAAATTAACTCATTCATAACCACATATAAATCTGTTGTGTCATCTATGTTACAAGCAATAAAAGATTTGCAATGCACATGCAGGCTGTAGCCATGGACATGCTGTGTGCTCTGATGGTGAATTTGGGGTGACCCAATGCAAAGATCCTGAGGATCCATGTGGATCCATGCTTTGTAACCACATTTTAAGTGGGGAGGGAAGGAAAAACACAGAAGGCTAAGAATGCAGGAGAGGGGCTATAAACGTGAGGAAAGGAAGGCAAAAGTTCCCCCCACCCACCCACACAAGCCAGCCAGCGCTCTCTCTCTCTCTCCCTCCCTCCCATCTGCATGTTTTCCGGCTGCCTGATATTTATTTTTTTTAATTGCCTTGACAGAAGAAAGCATTTTAACTGCATTAAGAACTATTTAGCAGCGAACCTAAGCTTTGCCATCCCTTAAGAGGTACAGACACTGTAATCTTCCAGATCGCATTGAATTTACAGGCAAAACACTGTTTAAGGATTTCATCCTTTTAAATGGAAGAAAGCATATTTGAATGCTGTGTGTCCCCAAAAACAAAAAGCAGGAAGTCAAATCAGTACTTTCCAACATCACTTCCTTGTCGATCTGGAACATAGCTGTCAACTTTTCTCTTTTCTTGTGAGGAATCCTATTCGGAATAAGGGAATTTCCCTTAAAAAAGCGAAAACATTGATAGCTATGATCTGGAATATATCTGTCTAACATGCTGACATCTCCTTAAATAGAGTTAAGTAATAATTGCAGGAGTGCAGAAGCATTCATCATTAATCACGTCTCTGAAAAGTCAGAATTGAAGACAGGAGTCCCTAGAAACAGCCATGCATAAACAAAACTGAAGCCATTTGCTCTTTGTAATAACCAAGTCTAGTGGTATCAAGGACCTAGAAGGCAGTCAGCATAACAAAGCCAAAACCATGTAGGAAAAAAGGGTGGATGGGGGGCAATATGCATTTACATTAACTATCTCCATTACAGGGACGCGGGTGGCGCTGTGGGTAAAAGCCTCAGCGCCTAGGGCTTGCCGATTGAAAGGTCGGCGGTTCGAATCCCCGCGGCGGGGTGCGCTCCCGTTGCTCGGTCCCAGCGCCTGCCAACCTAGCAGTTCGAAAGCACCCCCGGGTGCAAGTAGATAAATAGGGACCGCTTTCTAGCGGGAAGGTAAACGGCATTCCGTGTGCTGCGCTGGCTCGCCAGAGCAGCGATGTCACGCTGGCCACGTGACCCGGAAGTGTCTCCGGACAGCGCTGGCCCCCGGCCTCTTGAGTGAGATGGGCGCACAACCCTAGAGTCTGTCAAGACTGGCCCGTACGGGCAGGGGTACCTTACCTTTACCTTTTATCTCCATTACAAGTATTTTATCCTCAATGTAACACCTACTTCAGATCGTGAAGCTGAGGCTCCAATACTTTGGCCACCTCATGAGAAGAGAAGACTCCCTGGAAAAGACCCTGATGTTGGGAAAGATGGAGGGCACAAGGAGAAGGGGACGGCAGAGGACGAGATGGTTGGACAGTGTTCTCAAAGCTACAAACATGAGTCTGGCCAAGCTGTGGGAGGCAGTGGAAGACAAGAGTGCCTGGCGTGCTCTGGTCCATGGGTCACAAAGAGTCGGACACGACTAAACAACAACAACACCTACCATTCCCTTATGGCTGGGTGATGTAGTGCATGAACCCATTATAGGTTTTCAGTGCAGCACTAATGTG